TATGAATGTGTGTGAATGGGGTGAGCGTGTAGTGTACGGCACATTGTGTGGTCCAAAGAATAGAAAGGCGCTATATAAGTTCATTCCATTTACCATCTACCATTTAATACCTGCAGTGCTCTAAAGGGTTAAACTGTGAAGCCTTGTGAACAGAGAACACTGAGGCGAGGTAAATCCCAGCAGTCATTATACAGCACATGCTACAGCTTAGTGAAGTAAACACTGAAAACCTTCCACTTCCCTGTGCATGCAAGTATACAACAGCAACTGTGTAGGCTTAACTACATGTACATGCATTCAACTACACAACACAAACATTTTTTAAACTGTGTTCCATTTTGCTCAATTGTTCCTATTTGCTTCCAGCTTACATGTCTCTGTGAGCAAAACCCATGTGACTTTACATTATGAATCAAAAAAATGTCTCCACATTTTCTCAGACAGTTTAGCAGTACTGACGGAACTTTTTAACACAATAATCAGATTAACTTTTGATCTTTACAGAAGCCCTTGAAGTACACCACAAGTGGAGCTAACAGGGTCACGTGGGCCGACTTTTTAAGCTTTCAGCGCATGCAGCAGCTCAGAGGACAATACATGTTGTGTACAAACCCGCACCACACACGCAGAATTGAGAAAGGAAACACTAAAGCACGTAAACAGCATTTCAACGATGGACATATTACTGCATGAGTGTGCTATAGCTGTTTATTTATGTTAAAGAATCATAGACAACCCATGCAGCAATTCAGATGAATAACAACAATGTTATGACGTTTTTAAATGGAAGCGCTCTAAGACAGCAACATGTGTGTACCAAAAAGTTAACTATTGTGGAGCTGTCGTAGCAGGAGACAACGTAATCTCTCTGCCACTGGTCTTTCTGGAAACTCAGACTAAAATAGATATTCTAATCAAGCCCTGCCTGTCTGACATAGGAAGTGTGAAAGAAAAGTGTGTGTGTGTGTAGCGGTCATGATAGACAGTCTCCTGAAGAGCACCGACGCCACTGGCTGCTCTCAGACAATTCTCCCCTGTATCTGCCACAATTTCATCAAGCGATCTACAATTGCTTAAAACACAAGCCAAAGTATTCTTCCAAAACTATTGCTGCAGTGAAGAAGCCTGCAAGCTAGCAAACATGAGTTGTTTACAACTTGTTCGAGTGTAAACAATGGACAAAAAAAAAAGTACCACACTGGTCTGGAGAGGATTTAGCGACATCTAGTGGTTTAGTTGCAGATTGCAACTCAATCTCTTTATCCTACACTTCCAAGCATGAAGGAGAAACTACGGTGGCCACGAAAAACACATGAACGGGCCAAGGCCAGT